AGACAGCGGCGCGGTTGGCGCGGGAGCAGCGGCCCGGGCGGCGGCGGGATGGGGCTGCTGCTCATGATCCTGGCGTCGGCCGTGCTGGGCTCCTTCCTTACGCTGCTCGCCCAGTTCCTGCTGCTCTACCGCAGGCCGCCCGAGCCGCCGCCGGACGAGGCCGCGCGCGCGCGCGATGGCTTCCGCTACATCAAGCCGGTGCCGGGCCTGCCGCTCCGCGAGTACCTCTATGGCGGCGGCGGCGCGGACGAGCCCCCGGCCGGGCCCCCCGAGGGCGGAGGCGGCGGCGCGACCCCGGCGCCCGATCCCCCCGCCCCGCCGACGCGGGAGACCTGCTACTTCCTCAACGCCGCCATCCTGTTCCTGTTCCGCGAGCTGCGGGACACGGCGCTGGCCCGCCGCTGGGTCACCAAGAAGATCAAGGTGGAGTTCGAGGAGCTGCTGCAGACCAAGACGGCCGGCCGGCTGCTCGAGGGGCTGAGCCTGCGCGACGTGTTCCTGGGCGAGACGGTGCCCTTCGTCAAGACCATCCGGCTGCTGCGGCCCGTCGTGCCCTCGGCCACCGGCGAGCCCGACGGCGCCGACGGCGACGCGCTGCCCGCCGCCTCGCCCGAGGAGCTGGCCTTCGAGGCCGAGGTGGAGTACCACGGCGGCTTCCACCTGGCCATCGACGTGGACCTGGTGTTCGGCAAGTCCGCCTACCTGTTCGTCAAGCTGTCGCGCGTGGTGGGCCGGCTGCGCTTGGTGCTCACGCGCGTGCCCTTCACCCACTGGTTCTTCTCGTTCGTGGAGGACCCGCTCATCGACTTCGAGGTGCGCTCGCAGTTCGAGGGGCGGCCCATGCCGCAGCTCACGTCCATCATCGTCAACCAGCTCAAGAAGATCATCAAGCGCAAGCACACGCTGCCCAGCTACAAGATCAGGTGAGCTTGGGGGGCTCGGGGGGTGCGCCCCGCGCGCGCGCGCTGCGGACCTTCACCTTCAAAGGGGGGGCGATCGCCAGGCCTTACTTCCGAGGCACGGGAGCACCAGCCAACAGCAGCATCGCCAGCACCTGCAGCATCAGCACCAGCAGCAGTGTTTTCCTCCCAGACAGGCGTGCCGTGAACTTGCAAGCCTTTTCTGGGCTCCTGGGCACTGTCCACCTGGAAGAGGGCGGGGAGTCTCCACGGGGCCCCGCCTGTCGCATCCAGGCCGCGTTGGCGCTGACTTTGCAGCATCTCCTTGGCCGCTTTGAGCGGTTCGTGACCACACAGTGCAGGCCGGCGAGAGCAAGGACCCCGGGGAGCTTGGCACTTGCACTTGAACTTGCACTTGCACTGTGTCTTGGCTGCACGCGCTGCTCTGGGGCTGCAGGAGCGGGGAGCTAAGAGCATCCTGGTCACCGCACACTGGGGCCAGGCTGCGGACCTGCCACGCTGCCCTCTGCCCATCTGGAGAGACCTGGCGTGCAAGGGCCCCTGTGGCTGGAATGCCCCTCTCGGTCCCTCCAGTCACCCTGCAGATGGGTTTTGCAGATCAGGGCCATGTTCTCCTGCAGATGACACATGTCCCGTGACTTTTGCAAACTGCAGAGTTTCCTCTGCATTAGTTTTCTGTGAGTGTTACACACATTATTTAAGTGGGTGTTGCGCTCTATGTGGAAAATACGGTAGAGAGTTACAACTTTTGAACACATTCTTGTAGCCAGTCACTGCTTAAGAATTATTCCACTGTTTGGATTAATACATAAAGAAGTTTTCTTTTTCATATAAGGATGAGGGAAAATGGGGTTGTTTTTTGTTTTGGGGTTTTGGGGGTTTTTTTTAGGAAATAGAGTTTTGCAAGACTAGAGGTTCCTCAACTTGGCTAAGTGGAGAATTGTCTTGTCGTATTTCTTTCGAAGCTGTTGGGTTTTCACTTTCTGGTTTTCCCAAGCAAATTTTATCTACTTTGATATGTTTGACCCTTTTGAATTTTATCTTTTATTATAATTTTTTACCAATCTCGTAGTTACCTTACTTAATGTTATTTGAGGAAAGTTGCAAATTTCTATGAAAGGAGGAGCTCTGGTGGCCTTGTGGGGGAAGGAGCTGTGCTGCCAATCCAGAGGCGCACGGTTTGAATCCACTTGCTGCTCTCAGGAGAAGGCTGGGCAGTCTCCTCCCCTGTGATTTACAGCCTCCGAAAACCTGGCTGAGGGTCAGCTCTGAGTCTGTTCCGACTTGACATCGCACAACAGGAAGGACGCTCAGGGAGTGTAGTCTGTGGGGAGTGTGCTCCCCCAAAGGCTGCAGATCTCTGTTGGTTCAAATCCACCTGCAGCGCTACAGAGGGAAGACAGGCCATCTCGTCCTGTTGCCATTCACAGCTTGGGAAATCCAATGGAGGGTTGCTTTGAGTCAGAACTGACTTAGTAACAAGTGAGTATGAGTTTGTTTTTTCTGTCATACCCTCAGGCAATTAGTGACCCAGAAAATCCAGAGATACTTTATGTTTGGTTTGGAATTGGTTATGATCTTTTGGTGTTTTGCCGAGGCTTGTGGCACAAAATGACAGCTTAAAATGTTGGGTGGCAGGAGGAATTTACTTTGTAATGAAACTATTTTCATGTGTTTACAAAGGTTGACAAACTGGCTGTTGACTGCATAATTTCCTGTTCTGTGAAGTCGGACACACTTTATGAAACTACCTTGTAAGCTCTGCCATATAAGTGACTCAATTATAAACGACCTCTAGTGTTTTAACAGTCAGGGGTTTATTTATAGACGTGTGTTGCTAAAAAAAGTCTTAAGAAAAAAGTTAGTACATTTTTTTATACTCTATCCCAACTTGAGGGAGCTCTGCTGGTATGGCCTGTTGGGAATGTGAGCCGCTGTCCCAAAGCTGGCCGCTCTCTGGTGGTTCAAATCCGAGAGAAGAGTGGACAGTCTCCTGTGCAGTTTATAGCCGGGAGAGTCAGCCGAGAGGCAGTTCCAACTTGATGACAGTAAATTGAGTTTGAGATCACAGCTTTTTTCCTTCGTATTTCCTGGGGTGCTTTCAGGCAGTAAAATTTGACTTTGTTGTTATTATTCTTGGTTTAATTACCCACGTGGCAATTAGAGTGCTTATCACTTTGAGATTTATTTTTTAATCAAATGATGTTTTAGTTAAATCAGAAAGAAATTATGAATAAGTTAGGGAATCATTGAGGTGTTTATTTGAAGGAGTTTTATGTGTATCATTGAAGTCCAGTGCCATTTCAGGTAAATTGGTTTGTGTTTACTACAGTCTAAGAGTCTAAAAAAGCGTAGGAGGAGTTTGATAATATAAGCATCTATTCTTAAGCTTTAAATAGTCACTGCTTGAGATGTACACATCCGTCCTCCTTATAATGGAGAGAACTTACCAGTAGAATGCCGCCCTCACTCTGCAAGTATTTGTGTGTGTGCCTGTCATTCTGGATACTGGCACGTCAACAATGAATAGAAACAGACCACCTAAGCCCTGTACAGACTAGGCTCTAGTGAGATGGATTTTTAAAAATCCCAGAGTCATTGTGTCAAATTGAAACTGACCCTACATTGTTTTCAGAGGAGGACATTGCTCATCTTTCCCCACAGATCCGCTGGTATATTTGAAGCACTGGTAGATTTGTACCACCAGGGAGAGCAGCACTACTCCCTGGGCCACCAGAATGTTGTGCTTTAAAAGTTAAGCAAGAGCGTGTCATTGATGGGGTTGAAATTACTAGGAAGCTTATTAGGACTCCCTGTGGTTGCCTGGAATCCATCTAATTGTGACCTTGCACTGAGTTTTCCAAGGCTCTGTAAATCTTTATGAGAAGAGATTATCCAGTTTTCTTCCTCTCAGCTGCAGGTAGATCTGAACCATTGACCTTACGGTTAGCAGTATAACACTGTATAGCCAGAGTTTGTTTCAAGTAATAAGTATGGAAGTGAAAAAAGACTATTTCACAAGGTATTGAATTTTCTTTCAAACAGTTTAAACTGGTGGTACTGTGATGCTGATTCAAATTTCAGCTAAATATAGGAATTCTTCTACACTTAAACATGTATGGCTATCTCAGTGAGAATTGTGTTAATCTTTTTTTACATGCTAGGGAGTGGAGCTTAGAGTAACTTGCTTGTAATTAAGAAAATACTGACTCCTAGACCTGGTGGAACCAAGCTTGCTCCTCTTCTAGGTGAGACATCCTTGTGTATATGTGGAATGTTTTTCCACATGGGTCAGGAGCTCTTGCATACAGTGTGATGGCGTCAGACATGTCAAGCCAGCTCCCACTCTCAGTGAGCCTTTTTTAGGTGTCTGAGACTATAAGTCTTTCTGGAAGGAAACTTCCAGTCTTTCTTTCTCTCTCTGTGTGACTGATGGATCTGAACTATCCACCTTTCTGTTCAAGTTAACAATATCAAGGCTTTCTTGTTGTTGTTGTTATGTGCCGCCGAGTCACTTGCGACTCATAGCGACCCTATGTACAACAGCTCTAAACTCTGCTCTGTCCTGTGCCAATCTCATTGTCTCCGACACACTCATCCCAATTGCTGCAGTCACCGAATCAATCCATCTCCCAGACGGCTTTCCCCTCCTGTGCAGTCCCTCCACCCTCCCAAACATGATGTCCTTCTCCAAGAACCGGTCCCGCCTTACAACATGACCAAAGTATGTCAGACAAAGTTTCAGAATCCTTGCCTCCAAGGAGCAGCCCGGTTTAACCCTCTCCAGGATGAATATGTTTGTTTTCTTAGCAGTCCATGGCACTCTCAGCACTCTTCTCCAACACCACAGCTCAAAAGCGTCAATTCTCCTTAAAAAAAATAATTGGAAATTTTAAAAAGATATTTTGTTTAAGCTTAAATCATAAGGTTAAATCTTCCAGTGCTGCCCCACACTGTGTTTCTATTTTAATCCAGCAGCTTTTATTTCCAAATAGAGGTCTTGCTAGTTTATCCTTTTTTAGCCATCTAATCTACTTAGTACAGCTAACACAGCAAAGAAAATTGCATATTGTCTTAGGACTTTTGACACTTTTAATTATTACATATAAAAATAGTTGGCCAGTTAGCATGTGTCACTTCTCCCGTCAGTTCATTTTTCTGTTTTTCATGTTGAGAAAGTGAAGTCATCTTGCAAGACTGCCAGTTCTTGGTATTTCACCTTGAATGCTTGAATGCTAAGTAGCTTAGGAAGTTCTTTTCTAAGGACTTGGCTGATTGACATTTCACTTTACTCAACTAACTTGGTTTGTAAAACATGAGAATATTTGGAGAAATGAAATTGTACTGCATAAAAACGATATGTAATATTTCTGTATTAAATAATAGAGTGTTTGATGTTATCATCGAGTAGGAATGCTGCATGGGATTTTCAATGACCGATTTTTCGGAAGTTGAACATCAATTCATTTTTCCCATGTCTCTGGGTGAATCCAGACTTGTAACCCTGAGTTGTCAATTGCATTTACCACCCAGGAACTCATGCTTCTCCTAACACTGAGTCACCCCAGCACTCTTAAAATGTATAGAACATGTTTTCACTGAAGATAGGACTTCCTCTTTAGTCTTTGTTTTGATTTCTCTCCTAAGATAAAGACTTTAAAATTTTTAATTAGTCGTATTATTTTTAAAAACAACCTAAAACCTAATCTTAAAAGGTGAAAGATTATCACTCACTTTTTGGACTACAGAGACTTAGTCATCAGCCTTAAACCTGCATCAGTAATCAAGTATTTGAGATTGTTACTGATGCTTCCATCCCTCAAGAATTGTTTCTGTACTTTTGGTGTTATGAGTAAACGAATGCTTCTGTTCCTTGTGAATTATGGCTGTGCCGTAGGGGTTGCAGATAAACATTCTGCAAACTAAAAAGGTAGCTGCTTAGACTTCCCCAGAGGCATAAAGACCTGGCCATCTGCTTCCTAAAGTTCACAGCCTTGAAGACC